ATGAATAAAGTATTGATACATGCTTCAAAATGAATATGCCTTAAAACATGTTAAATGAAGGAATCCAGTCACAAAAGACTACACATTGTGTGATCCCATTTATATGATATTGTTGCTAGGACTGGATACAAATGAGGAAATATAAATTTTATGTTTAGTAACATTCTTTTAATTGTAAAATAAATTATATTTAAAGTATCCATTTATAAAGGAATTGATTAAAATTCTTAAGCTACTGCCTATTGAATTTAAGCAACATGAGACCATAAGAATGATTCCAACATTTATTCTTAATAAATTATAATAGTGCCATTTTTACCTTTGTAGTCCACCATAAAGATATAGGATGTATTTTGCCGAAGAAATAGTGAAACACTTATTTAAAAAAAAAAAAAAAACATATGGGGGACATGAGGATAATATAACCTATATTTAATGTATGAAAGCTAGTTTTCAATTCTAAGATGCAAAGCTGTAGCTGGACCACAAATGCTAGTCTTAACTACTGCTGATCACACTCTATTCCTGCATCACTCTGCCAACCTTTTTTCCAGTTCATGCATTTGCTCACAAAGTATTTCAAGATTAGATGCCTGAGAATGCTGTGATGAAAATGGCATTTTAGAAGTTCTTCACAGACATATTATGCAATAAGTTTAGAACTAGAGTAATTAAGCTTGAAGTTTATATCTGTCTCTTTTCCTCTTTACTTCCTTCTTTCTTGCCCCAATTCTCTTTATTCTTTCTTTTCTCTCTCAATGTTGCCAGATACATGTAGAACAAATATAGAGTTCTACATCTGTTACACAGAAAAGATTATGTAGTTTACAAACTCTCATAAACAACCTAATATAATTAATTCTTATAAATTTCATTGTCTAATAGTAGCCAAAATTTATTTACTGGTAATATTTAATATTCACATGGACAATTTAGTCTGTGATTTACAGTCTCATAGAAAATGAAGCAAATACCATTGTTAACTTACATTATTTCAGTAGAACTGATAATAGCCAGATGTCACTTTTGATAAGAATATTTTAAACAGGTAAGAAAATACAGTGTTCCAAAGCTTCTTAATGGCACTACATTAAATATGCTAACTTTGAATAAGGAATTACACTCTGATAGTGTTACTAGCATCTGAAAGCATTATAACACATATATTTTAGGTGACATTTATATGTGGGACAATTGACCTAACCATTTTTCTAATGTATCATAAATGACTGATGTTAATAAAATGCTGAGGAGTGGTATACTAGTAGATGAGAATAAACTTTAGAGGTATTGTTTTCTGTTCTCCTGTTTTGAGAAATTAATTTGGTTCATTAATTTTTCTCTATTCTGAGTAAACATGAAGTGGTATTTGCAGGGTTAGTAATTGACATGTTTGTGGGAGATTGATCCAGATATCAACATCTTTATTATTTAATTTATAATGATATTTCTTATATTTTAGAATAATTCATTCATATGGAATAACTCTATTTAATCAGAATAGTAAGCTAATAAGCTTATGTTAATCCAATAAGAATTCCTCGTATATACAATATTTATCACTTTTATAATTTGAAAAAATGCTACAAAAATAATTTTAGTGACATCTTAGTATTAAATAATTTTTTTAAAAACTCAAGTTTATGGTATGTGATAAGTGCTCCTTTAAATTCCAGAATATATCTGGTATTATAATATTTTTAAATATTGCTTCACATAAACATGTAGTGTGTTCAGAATGCACTTGCTTTTTCAAGTCATCTCTTTTGTTATAGTGCTACTGTAAACATAAATTATAGATTATATAATGACTGAATTTCATTTTAAAAAGATATTGACATATCTTAAAAATTAAACGAGAATGGCCTATTAAAATTAATTATTTTACAAATTAAATGTCGCTTAGTGGATAAAGGCAATTTTCAGATAAATCCTATTTTTTTAATAGCAGGTCTATCTTACCTTTTATAAGCTGGACTTTCTTGTGCTTCATGAAATAAATTCTTTTTCCAGTATTTGTTTTACCAATCTGGCCTACTCTTGTCTTTAACCAGTAGTTTTGCATTGTATCCAAGTAATATTGAATGGCCTACATTTATAGAATACTATGAAGTGGGATGTATGCACCCAAGCATGTAATATACACTCCAAGTGATGTTATATATGTGTAATATACACCTCCTTTACTTTAAAACCAGAGTGAACCGGTTCAACATTGGCACAGGGAACTCACAGAGAGAATCATACAAACTTTTAAGGCAGTTAATAGGAAAGAAGAAATACAGAAAGCTTTGAGAAACCCAGCATGTGGCCAAAAACAACATCAGGTGTGGCCATATGGCAATCAAATTAGAAAAGGGATCCTTGCCACATTGCCTTTCAGAAGGTACTCAAGCCCAGGCAGCTCTTGTGGAGGGATGATTTACTCAGTACATTTAAGTGTTTCATACTGCCTCTTTCATTGTTCAATTCTGAAGGGAATTTAAATCTATCGTACCAAATAGATGTTGAAGAATTTCTTTGAAGAATAAAAATAAAAACTTCTAAAGTAATTTTGCTTTTGCATTGAGAGACCAATATGCCAAAAGCATGTTTATTTCCAAATAAAGCATTTGTTATGCTGAGGTTGTTTTCAAAAAAGTAAAGCATTGTAAAGCTAAAATTTAATGACACTTTTATTTTAACAAAACATTTAGTGAGATTACTTATAATTTTGAAATTTCCTACTTAGGTCAAGGCACTCTTTAATAATGTAATTAAAATTATTTTTAAGAAGTCAAACTGTAGAATAACATTTTTCAGAAGTCCTTGAAGCACATTTTTCTTTAAAAAGAATTTGCCAAAAATGTGTTTCAGTGCTCAGATTAGCTCTCAAAAATTTGTTTGACCTACAAAAGAACAGGGACTGTACTATTAACAGTCATTCTTAAATGTATTATTAGTATTTATCATGTTATAATTTCAGCAACATTCTTGGGCTGTGTGTGTGCATGTGTGTGTGTGTTTTCTAAACTGGGAAAATGTCCACACTCTGTCCTTAATTGCTATTATTTTGAGGGAAAATATGGCCTTTGTTGAGAACTTAGACCCATGAATATTCACCCTACTCTGGTCTCACAACACAGCTTTATTAAGGTGGCGACAAATTAGCCTATGGTCAGAATGAAGACAATATTCATATTTTACCCTTAACTTCTTTGATTTGTTTCTGCTTACTTGGCAGCACCACACTTTTAGTTTCCAGTGACCAAAGTTTTGGAATAATAGCACAACAAAAAGATAATCAATTACTCAAACAAGCTATAGTTTATGTATTGGTTGCTTCCCTGATAGTATTTTTTAATAAGATTTTTATCTTTATTTTGAATAAACAGAAATTATCTGCCTGTGTAAAAATGTGACCTTGTCATAAATCTCTTATTGCAGCACAAATATTATACTTCTATTGAAATTAATTTACATTTATTTAATACAAGGCAGCTAAATTTTATTATTTTGAAATAGATTTTTTCAGAGAATTTTTTTTTTTTTTGCTTAAAAACCTAGCTTTTAACATTTTGTTTTTATATTAAAGTTATAGAAGAATTAAAAAAAAAAAAAAACATAAGCATCACTGCCTCTGTCTCTCAGATGTTAAAACTGTTAGTATTTTTGGCACATTGCTTTCAATAATTATTACAATAAAACTTGGCTAAAGCCCCTTTGGTCCACTTCTCATTCTCTCTACTCTCTTATGAGAGGCAACCACTAACATGAGTTTTGTGATTATTTTCTCCTTTTAATTAAAAAAATTACATACATTTATATATCTGTCAAGAATATGAGTATTAAATTTATATATACAGTTCAAAGATATATAGATTATTCATGTTACTTTTTCATCTAACTTTGTTATTGTCATCTATCCTATTGATATATAAAGATCTATTTCCCCCATTTCAACTGTTTTGTAACATTTTATCATATAAGTTAAAAGTATTTTATTTATCTATTGCTCTATCAATGGACATTTATAAGTTCCTTTCTTCATAGCTTTTCTGATATTCCATTATTCCTGAGATTTAATGAACATTTTTATAAAAATCATAGTATATTTACATACTCTAGTTTTACAGTTTTAAACTGCTTAGCGAACCTCTCTTGAACAGTTTCAACTGGAGATGTTTCATTTTTAAATTATGCCTGAAATATAGAAAAATGGCAAATAATTCAAGATATGATTTTTAACATCAAATGTAATTTGTTTAAAATTTATATTAATCTTTCTCATAACTGATCACTTCCATTTTATCTTCCTGTCATCCTGAAAAATGAAAATGTAATTTCCCAGAGGCTTTAAGAATTGGGGGTGTATTCAATGTAGCTGAAATTAAGTGATTAATAATTTACTTTTGAGTCATGAATCAACTTCATGGGATGCTAAGGATCGTTTGCAACCCCAGAAGCACTAGCAGTAACAATGCACTTTTTAAGACTCAAGAACTCTCAAAGGTTGGCTACTCAACCTAATTAAACTTCAATCTTCTGATACCAAATTTATTTCTTCTTTGTACAGAATTTCCTCAGATCTGCTTGACAGGAAAATGTCACTTTGCCTGACAGCTGATAGACAGGTTATGTAGCTCCATAATTGGAGAGAAAAGGATAGCTTAAAGCTACTCGATTTAATAGCTCTGTGTATGGCTTTTTCTTTCTTTTTCTTTTTTTTCTTTCTTTTTTTTTTTTTTTTTAAAGGTTTCTGTGACAGACAAAAGGCCTTAGCAAATAGGCCCAGTTCCATTTTTTTCCTGCTTCCTCCAGGGGTAATTATCTTACTTCATCAATAGTGCTGTCAGAAATTGGGCACGTAATTCAGCATTTAAATGAACAAGCAATGTAATATTTCCTGTCTCCCAGTGGAATGCTTTGCAGTTCACATTCTTCTCTGTCACTCGTTCACTCTTGATGTATGTCCCATACCCAGTCCTTGAATGCCTTCTCTCCCTTGTGTTTCATTGCAGATGTTGGCTCCGACTTGACACCTACTTCATTTGGAGTTTTATAGGACCAGCGACCTTGATAATTATGGTAAGAACTCCAAATTAACTATGTCTTTCCCAGGTCAAGAAATAAAACTTTCACTATCCTTGTACTGACTATCTTTAATTTACATAGATTAATTTGGAAAAAGCAAGTACTTATTTGACCCTACATAACTCAAGCAATTAGACCCTTGTTATAGTCTACTTTCATATTTGTAACATACTTAATCAAAACCATTGAGAGAAGAAAACATGCATTTGCATATTTATATGGTGCTATGGCTCCTGAGGAGGCTGATCCAACATAATCCATTTGGTTTTGTAGATTTTTGAGCAGTGATGACTTTGAGTTTGACAATAGTACATTTCCACTCATTTTCATTTGGATAATTTGAATACTGAATGGAATCAGAAATTGTGAAAGTTTCAAAATACGTTATTGTTCATAATAGTTTTGTTTTTATATAAATCTTGAAAACTTTAAAATATAAAAGAATTTTATTTGAGAATGGCACAAACAAACAAGCATTCTGGAGTCCTACTTTTTTTTTTAATTTTTAATTTTTAGATGCATAAAATATGAATCATTTGTTCTAATTTAGATGTAATTATTGGTGTCATTTGTGTACTTATTTTAAAATATAAAGTTGCTATTCATTATCTGAAATCCTTTGGGCCAGATACATTTTGAAATTCAGACATTTTTCAGACTTTAGAAAGGTAATATGTTACATATATTGCATATTACATATTATCTCTAGAGGAGAATAAGCAGTTTCCCCAAATCAAACCTATCAACCAATATATTAGGGACTAGGCAGTACTCTGAAACCAAACAGTATTAATTAAGCAGAAAAAAATAGGAAAAGTAAGATGAAATAGAATAAAGAATAAAGGCCCATAAGTGCCTTATGTCTATTCAAATCAGGTTTTCCCATCGTCAGATAGGTTCAGCTCAGGTTAGGCATTCGGGCTACCCAATTAATTTTTTTAAACTTTCACATTTCGGACTTTTCGAATTTGATAAAGGATTGTAGACCTGTATTATTTAGAGAATTTCAGTGGGACTTATGCTTTAACTTTCCTAGGCCCATCAATCTCAAATTCTGGCATATATAAACAAATCAGGTGATAAATGACAATTCAATATGAAGTTTTCCATACGGTTTACATATATGCGATATATGGAATTTATACGAGAACTTTTTGTTATGTTTTAAATCGTATGCTCTCTCTGGCTCCAGTAATATAACAATCTCATTGGAGATTTCCTCTACTTTAATCCTAGTTTGTTTTAACATCAGAATTTAGCTAACACTTTATAATCCTCATGATCTGGCTTTTCAAAAATATATTGATTTTAGTATTTGCATGTATTTGGCTTAACAGTGCTTTGTACCTCATTGGTATCCCAATTCTCCAAACTGGCTTCTTGCCTTTACTAAAATATTAGTCAGTCATCTATAATCCAATTCCCTTAAAAATGTAATGAGAGCTAATTTCCCAGAACAACTTATCTGTTGAATAGACTTATGTTTTTTCCTACTCCAGTTATGCTATATAACATCACCTTTTATATTACAGCTTAATGTCATCTTCCTTGGGATTGCTTTATATAAAATGTTTCATCATACTGCCATTCTGAAACCTGAATCGGGCTGTCTTGATAATATCAAGTAAGTGATTTTTCTTTGTTTTCTCTAGGTTGATTTACTTTGGTACACTAACTAACCCTACTTTTAATTGAAAATCTTATGAAATTCTTATGACAGAATGGTAAAGATCAGTATGTTGTCTTTTCTGAATAAGATCATTTATTTACTACTAAGGTAACTTGATCTGCCTGAAAATAAGTATATATATA